AAAAAAAAAAAAAAAAAGACTAATACGATTATTTTCCCTGCTCAATCAGAGCACCGAACGGATCCCACTGCCAGTCCTGGTGCCAGTCAAACTCGAGTTCCGTCGCAACACGATCCGCGTCCTTGGGGCTATATACGTCCTGTATAAATGCCAAGATGGCGTCGATGCCGGCGGTCACGCCTGCTGTTGTCCAGATATTGCCGTCGCGGATCCAGCGCGCCTGGGGGATCCAGGTGATTGTGCTTCCGCTGGTGCCGCTGTTGGATAGGGGCGCATAGCCAGGATCAGGCTTCAGCGACGTAACGAGGCTCCAATTCAATTTATTCGTGGTCGCCCTCTTCCCTTGCAGGACTCCACTCCGCACCGCTAGTGCGGCGCCCGTACACACCGTGACCAGATACTGCAAGCTGGGATACCGATTGTGGATAAACTCAATCACGGGACCAAGGTCTGGTGCCCGAGTGCCGATGCCGCCGGGAATAAGCAAGACGTCAATATCACTGGGCGCATTGTCAAAGGTGTGTGTTGGAACAACTCTCTGGTAGAAGTTGGAGCCAGCGGGATTCATGGACGGGTGGCGAGCCTGCGTGGACACGGGGTCCAAGGTGGATGCGATCATGTAGAGGTTCATGGTGTGGCTGAGGGAGAGGATGTTGAATGCGTCAAGTGGCCCAAAGACGTCCAGGGGCTGGAAGCCTGGGAAGAGAATCATGGCGTAGTTCTTTGGTTTGGTGGCGGAAGCCGAAGGGGTGGAAGTGGTCGACATGGTTGGAGGCGTTGGGTGGGTGGGTGTATCAGACGTCGTAAGACTCGTACAGTGTGGGAGAGTTTGCAGGAAAGAAGGGGACTGAGCTGTCGTGTTTATCTATCTATACTAGTCAATATCAGATCGAGGTAGACTGTTGATGTTCTTTGTGTCTTTTTTTCAAGCGATTGTAAGCTGGAGAGCGTGTACGGTAGTGTATGTCCAGTAGAAATCATGCGGTACGGATACGAAGATAAAACGGCAAAAGGGAAGAAATTGGAAGACATAATAATCCGAGCAAGGCGCGTACCAAAACAATCCCATATCAAATGCCAAAAAACAACCGCACAGGAAAAAAAAAACATGTTCAAAAATCAAAGGTTCTCCCAAGAAAAAGTAATATCAAAGACAAATAAACAAGAATACAATCAAATCTCACCTTGTAGGCTTGTCCTAAGAAGAATGTCTGCGCAGTATCCGGAGCTGGAGCAGCAATAGCAAAGCGATTACCATTCAATATCTTAATGGTTGGCAACTCACAACCCAGCGGTGCTATCAGCAGTATTTGTAGTAATAACTTGGCTCCAACCTTCAACTACACGTAAGACGAAAGCGTCATTCTCACCAGTCACGCCAGGTTCTGACTCAAGCTTATGGGGTTGAGAGGGCGGCACGTGACTCTGCTTATTATCGCAATTCGCTGTTCATTGCTTACAAAACATATGGCGTATAGTATGGTGTAAAATATTTAGATCTATTGGATCTCGAGAAACAAGGGCGCAGGGAGAATTTGCACTGGCGAAGAAAGCGGATCTAATATCCGCCTTTATATCATGCGGGAGGATTGGAAGTGGTGTTGCATGAGGCTCTGCGGCACGCAAGTCCATGGCATATAGAGTTAGCTCGCCTGTAACACACTTGATTACTGCACCTACACTATTGACGCTTTAGTAAGCATCTTATCTGCAGTAGTGGAACTTGAATGTGTTGTTCGGTGGGTAAGATGTGGATTGAGCAGGATTGCGTGGGTTTGAGGCAGTTTCCTTGCCGACTGTAGCCAGATTGGACAACGATTGGCGAGTTTTAGTGCAAGTCAGTTGAGCTTAACAGTGTACGGAGTATTATAGCTGCTTACGGTGGGGCGCCATAGTGGCTTAGCGTGAGGTACAATGGCGGCCTCTATGGTGGGTCGGCCCGCTAAATGTCAGTTAAGGCCAGCCCGAATAGAGGTGGAGGAGTTCACGTAAGCAGATTGGCATTACAAATGTCGCTTTGAATTGCATTTAGATGCACAAATATACTGTATAGGTATTTCAAGACCAAAAAATCTAAGTAATTTAATGCCTTTATTGCATAAAGTATCCAAAAATATTGCATTTTGTTTCGTAGACCCGCTTACAAATGCTCGCAAGGTGCAAGGTAAAAATACCCTTGTCCATTCTGACTCTCGGTCCAGACGCCTTTGTATTGCCCGGTCCTCATAATCTCTCGTATGACTCGCGACTTTGCAATATAATATGTTGATCCGCCTTCAATCTGAAACACGCAGTTATGCCATGGTGTAGGTATGTGGAGTAGATCGTCGCTGGTTGACGAGAGAAATTTCCCGTCAAATCTTTCCAGTTTGGCGGCATTCTTTCCTAGCAGTCGAATTCCGAATTTGGGTCCGCGGTTGTCATGTCTATTTTGTAAGCCGATTTGAACCACTTACCAAGCGAGATATCACTTACGCGTGTATCGATAGTCGAATGTGTTGGGGGAACAAGAGCTCGACAAGATTTGAATATGCATGGTTGCGCTAAGGAAGTAAGTAAATAGATCCGGAAATGGTGACAAGCCGCGCACCTTGATCATCTCAAAAGCAATTTTGGAGCTCATTTTCTTCCTTTGACTTTTGCTCAGTGTCTCGCTTGCGGAATGCAGAGACAAATCTTCCAGCATAAATTTGGAAAAACCTCGATAGAGTGCTAGTCTCGCTGGATCCTGATCTTCAATCGCCGCACGCAACTCGTTGCTGTCGACCTGGCATCCTGCGAGTAGAATTTTTCGACATAATTCTGAGTCGGGGGATAATGTTGTCCCCAGGAAATGAGACACAGTAATATCTGAAAGAACACTTCGGTCAAATTGACTATCACGAAGTTCGTCTCGGAACAGCAACTCCTTTAGTGAACAGAATTGTATGCAATCTTTGAAGAGTGCGTCTTCATTTTCGAGAATATTTGCGCAAAGGGACTTTAGAACTTCGTTGTACTTGTCTACGATAATATCATCCACGCCGACTAAGAATGTATTATTAGCTATATATCCTTCTAGACAGTGCGATGTCCTGAAAGTTGGCTTGGTAAAGCATGAGAAACTCACTGCAATCGCTGAACACATGCCCGTCACTGATGACCCAAAGTTTCGCGCCCGGCTCATATATTTTCCGAACGCTGCGGAGGAACGAGATTAAGTTTTTGAGAGCAATCTCCTCTCCCTTGTCAGGTAGATATCCGGTAACCTTGTCAGTATTTGAAGATTTGCAGGGAAAGGCTGGCAAGCAAAATTCGACTGTTGCTCCTCGGGAAATAAATCGATAGGCTAGATCCTCGAACAACGCACGTCCTCCACATTCCCATTGGTCGTCGCGAGAAATGTTTCTGAGGCTTTGATCGAAAATTCCACAGATAATTGAACTGAGATATCTTGCATTTGTGTCAATATTTTCTTGAAACCGTAAATCGTGAATTGGGATCCTTGCTCCGTTGACGACCAAAGAGGTGAACCACTGCCGAAATCGCGGACTGATGCCTGACTCTTGTGGGAACACACTGAGAAGACCGAAAATAATTCCATCTGAGAATCGAGGGACCTCTTGCAGCCTTAAAGTAAATCCTGAAACTGCAGTCAATGCCTCGCCGTTTGTGTTGCATGATTGCGCAATGCAATCCTTGACCCACTGATCATCACTGGAGAAGTCGCGCGAGCAAGGGTCTAGCTTGGGCCTCTTCGTCGCGAGGCTGACGCTGCTGGACGACCATGGATGATTGCGGAAGATAAAGGCCAATACTCTCTCAACTGGCTCCTGTCTTCCTCGAAGGACCTTCAGCGATTGGCCACCGGCATCTCGAATATAGATCGCGTGTATCTCATGATACACCGACACAGGAGAGCAACTCGAAGAGAGAAAATCCATATATTGAATGCCTTTGCATCAGCGAAATGAACAACGAGAAGCATGCCATTGTGAATGGAGGACTATCAAAGCCAATTATTCACGGATAGAATCATCACTCGAAATAATTTGGCATATAGCCAAGAAAACATTGCATAATCATGAAAGTCGCCCAGAAACATCTTGTGCAGGGTGGAATATTCATGCTGAGCGGGTTTGCGCAATTTCATTTCGGATCCCGAACAGCAACAGGGGTAGGGTTGCATTGACTCCGTTGTTGGACGCCCTCAAGAACAGATATGACGCCAAGAGAATGAAGAATGCTTCATCCACTACTCTACAGTAGCTGGCGAAGACTAACAAATCCCATCAAGTTATGAGATAACATAATTCCACGCGCACGGTCAGGCGGATCATTCAGCAATGGCGCAATCGCAGGAATAATAGGGAGGAGAAGGGAGGGAATTGAGTTAGAACTAACGCACGTGGGGAGAAGCATCCGTGATGCCTTAAGTGGGCCGTATTGGCGGCCCACGCGAGCAAGCAGCTAATAAGTTAGCATCGCACGTCCATTTCTCAGAAGGCCCATGAATATTTACCTTATGTTATCCACCCTTTAGTTCCTCCGATTTCTACCATACTCGCCGAGCAGCCTTATTCAATGCGAAGGAAGAAATGAATCCGACCATTGGATCATCTAGGTCTAGACGTTGTTGTTCCTGGCGGAGTGGGGATTCGGTCTTACTCTGCCGAGGTGGATGATTTCGATTGACAAGCGCAGAATCGGTCTCAGCTGACACGAGGGCGCAATGGGGTTTTATATTTGTTTAAGCTGAAATGAAATGTATCATTCTTTTGTTTTTGCATGTCCTTTGAAGACTACAGAGGTTAGTTGTACGCATTATGTTTGCCTTCTTATGTGTCTCGGCAATCTGTTTTATTGCAGTGACAAAATTGTATTTTTGGACTTTTTTTCCGCCTCGAAACTTTCCTAGAAACATCCCAACTGTTCCATTTTACGTCACCCTTCTGCCGCTTTTCAAAGATGTCGATCAAGAAAAGATATTCAAGGAGTATCTAGAAGAGCCTCTAGCAACGCACGGGGCCGTCAAGATTTTTTTCGGCGCCCGATGGAACATATTACTCCAAAAGCCAGAATATATGGCGGAAATCTTCAAAGACGAGAAGACATATGCCAAATCTGGTAATCAGAAAAAGATTCCATACAGCGTGCTGGCAGATTACACTGGCGACAATATCATTAGTGCACACGGTGACGACTGGAGACTTTATCAACAGGTCCTAAAACCAGGGTTGCAGAAACAATTTGACATATCATCATTTTGTGAGAATGCGCTTCTTCTTATCCGTATTCTGAAGGAGACGAACAACAGAGATGGTGCAGTCCTAGTCACGCCTCTGCTCCAGCGGTATACTGTTGCAAACTTGGGAAAGGCGGTTTTCTCCGCGGATTTTCAGGTATTTCCATTGACCAGGTTCATGCTATATCATTGATTCATTGCTAATACGGATGTGCAAAGACTATGGAAAAACCCGATGCTGATGTGCATCTATTACAAATGGCTGTTAAAAAGGAAATTTTCAAACCGATATTTCTAACCTTTCCCTTTCTCGATGCCTTGCCCATTCCGAGCCGCAAAAAGGCCCGGAGGACCGTTCAAGTTTTCAGGGATGAGTTCTGTAAAATGGTACAAAAGAGCCATGCTGGAAATTGCTGCTCTACTGAGAGCGATAACCTAGGTTGTAGACTCATTTCTGCACGAAAAAAGAGCGTACTTAGAGAAAAGCAATTTCAAGACAATATGGTCATATCTTTTGTGGCAGGACATGAGAATCCGCAACTCTTGCTTTCTACCCTAATCTATCTACTGGCCAAGCATCAAGTAGGTCATATATGTGATTTGAGACACATGAATAGAAACTCACCATCTCGTTCTCCGCAGGAAATTCAAGAAAAGCTTCGCAGAGAGATCTTGTGCTCAGGGCAGGATGACCCATCCCATGATATGTTCAAAAATATGCCATATCTTACATCTGTCATATACGAGGCCCTTCGCTTGTTTCCTCCGATATCTCAACTCATAAATAGAAAGACGACTCGGACGGTGGCTCTTGGAAATGAGATTATTATTCCAAAGGGCACATATGTTGGATATCATGCGTATGCCACAGGTCGGGATGCCACATGCTGGGGGCTCGATGCGAATGAGTTTCTACCAGAAAGATGGGGAGGGACAATGCCAGAAATTGCGAACAAGTATCGAAGAGCAAAGAGCAAAGCTGAATTTACTTCGTTTCATGGAGGACGTAGAGCTTGCCTGGGAGAGAAGCTCGCCATTCTCGAAGCTCGCGTCACGCTCTTCTATCTGATTCAGAGGCTTAAATGGAAACTTGACCCTACATGGCCAGAGCGAATGACTCCGGTAAGTTTTGCTGGTCTGTGCCCGTCTTTTATTGAATCGCTGCTAACAAAAATTCCTTAGGCGGGGCCTCTATATCCAAGAATGCTGCGTGTTCAAGTTGAGGAGCTTTAGGCCACTACGACTGATGCTCTTCATGTCAGCTGACTCAATTCGACTCAAGCAAAGTGAAAATTAGTCGCCTGCTTTGAAGCAATCTTGTGATATCTACGGTGGAAACGTTATATATACATATTAGAAGCGTCCCGTGTGACTTTTTATAATAAATAAATGTCAAGGATATTGAACAGCGACTACATAACGCAGGTCCTTCTCTAGGCATGCAAATCGCCTTAGACTAGTCGTGCAGCACAAATTTTGAACTTGGAAAGTTCCTACGAATGCATGGAAGCATTGGCTATTTTTTGAGAAATGTTTAACTGTTCGCAGAGAAGGAACGTCTCGTATTACTAACAACGGTACTTTTCTTCGGTGATACAAAGGTATTGGTCCTATTTCATCCCAGCCAAACTAAGCCTATTAATTGGTAAGGGCGGCTCGAGGTTACTCATGCAACGGTTCTAGTGGGGAGTCAAGCGAGAAAAGCTCAGTTTACAGCTGGACTTTCCACTAGATTCAACTAAGCCTTGCTCGGTTAGCCAGATAAAGGAGTGCCTGATCTTCGCTGAATTATTCCCGCAAATTTCCAGCGGCTCCACCAACATGCATCAATCGTCCATGAGCCACTAATGCCAAGCATCAAGATCAAGATGGCAGCCCTTGATACTTTATCCAATCTTTCTGGCAAAACTTGGCGCTCTAAGCTGAAATTTCAGCTCACTATGCAATACGCTAATTTCTACTCCCGCTGTGCGTGCCATTCTTGGCCTGGGCCCTGCATATGGGTCTCAATCACGGTGTCACGGCCTACCACTTTTTATTGATTGCCACACCATAGGCCGAGAATTGTTTTTACGCGATTATATACACAGATTCGCCGATTGACATAAGCTCAAACTTCCAGTGGAGCACTGAGGATTGCAGCATGATCTTGGCATAAACCCACCTGCTTGGCCACGCAGCTTGAGTAGAATCGCTAGACTCAACTATCTGGGAAATTTGGCACCCCTAGAAAAGAAAAGAACATTACTCTTCTGCATACCGCATTATACTCCATCAATCATTATCACATCTTTTCTGTCTGGCAACTTCTCTTTATCCAGCTTCCAAATAACATTATACATCCTTGAAGACCCAGAAATGAACGAAGAGAAAATCAGCCATGGTCCGGGTATGACATGCACTGTCCAGCCTGAAACAACTGCGGCTACAGCAAACCACGGTGAGGCTGCCCATAACAAGGTCTCAGTACTGACTGAAGTTAAAGCATCATCCACGGAGCCTTATTCGGCATTTTCCAGCGGTAAAAGACGGTTCTACATGGGTATTGTCACCTTTGCTGGATTTCTTGGACCACTTTCTGGAAGCATTTATTTGCCACTTTTACCTCTGTTGGAAAATGGCCATCATGGTGAGCTTCATCGCTCGAGAGCATCTGTCAATGGTACTGTATCGATCTTCATGGCGACTTTTGCGGTTGCGGTAAGTGGCTCGTTTTTTTCTGCTGTTCAAGTCCTTTGATAGACTACTGCCCTCCAGTTCAGCACCACGTGATTTTACCTTGATCATTTTTATAATGCCGGTTGTACTATGAGTTAGGGTGGTTTATTTCTTTCGTTCCCCGGTTTTGTTTTTTTCATCTAGATAAATGCTGACCTCTATTCAGCCCCTTTTTTGGGCAAGCCTTGCCGATTTTGGTGGCCGAAAAATTCTCTATTTGTCTTCCCTTACCATTTTCTTTGTAGCGAATATATTGCTTGTGTTTTTTTGTTTGTCATTCGGTGCGCTATATCCACTGCGACTTTTCCAAGCTTTTGGCGGCGCAAGCGTCATGTCACTCGGTGCAGGAACCATTGTGGATCTCGTACCGCCAAAGGATCGCGCTTTTGCTCTTTCAATTTTCATGCTTGGCCCCCAGGTCGGGCCCGCTCTTGGGCCTCTACTTGGTGGCATTATCTCGCAGTATGCGTATAGATATGTCTTTGCTTTACTTGGTACGTACTTGACCCGCACTAATTTCCTTTTCAACCCCATTCGTTTGCATTGACAAAAGTCCATGGTAGCCATTTCGACCTTTGTCGCCTTTGCACTGATCCTCCTTTGCCTTCCGGAGACCCTTAGATACCTCGTGGGCAACGGGTCGGTCTACGAGAGTTCAACATGGCCAGCAAAACCACGGCTTTGGCAAAAGCGGCTTGTGAATGATGATAGGAAATACCCACGGCCACCAAAGCCTAGCCCGCGAGCATACTACAATCTCTTGCGATATGTGCCTACGCTCCTAGTTTGTATTGATAATGCACTGCTCTTTGGGGGCTACTATGCTTTCACTGTGGATTTTGCTCGTACGTTGGAACAGAAATATCTTTTCAATCAGATTCAAATTGGTGCTTCCTTTATTGCTCCAGGTAAGCCTCTAATCTTTTATGGTGTTTATCACGGCTCATTACTTGAACTTTCTAACACTTGGAATACAGCGGGTGGCATGATACTAGGCTCACTAATTAGCGGGAAATTGTCTGATAAAATGCGGGCAAAGTTTGTAAAGCAGAGCCAGAGTAGTGAGGCTGCTCCTGAGCGGAGGATCCATTCACAAATTTTTGGCATCTTGATTTCAATAGCCGGCTTTTTAATGTACGGGTGGTTCACGAGATTCCACATCCACATATCAAGCGTGTTAATTTCTACTATTCTTGGTGAGTTTGTTGTGAGCATAGGCCCCGACCCCGCTGCCCGGCAGGCCATATCGGTTGATTTGCGAAGCCTTGCCCTACCTCAGCTGACAGTATCATACTATAGCTGGCTTCGGAATGACATGGGTGTTTGCAACAAGTTCAGCGTACTTAACTGAGTGCGCGCCTCGGCAGGCAGCAAGTCTGGTTGCCGTCAATGGTGTCTTCCGCAACGCTGCTGCTGCCATCTCCTCTGCTGTCGAAGGCCCAGTCGTCACAGCAATTGGAACAGGTTGGACATTTACGATTGTTGCATTGATGTATCTCGTTGTCGTCGGCATCATCATATATCTCATTCGTACAGGCGCATCATGGCGACGGAAAAGGGAGGAGTGGGAAAAGTCATCTCCATAGTTCCATAGCGCGCAATTTCCAACGGCCGTTAACCGTCGATTCTCAACACCGAGTGAATACATGATAACGATCCTCCATAGCTGCTTAGCCTGTAAAATCACTTCGTCTGGATACAAAACAAGCGAAATGCCTTGCACCTCGAGAATCTGACACTTTAAAAAGTGGTAGACGTTTGACGATATTTGTTATCATGCCGTTTGGCCCAATCACGCTTCTTACCGGAGTTGAAGCTGTAAGCTTATAGGTCAACCGTTAAACGAGAGCCTTGACGAGATAAGAAAAGACGATGCGCTTGTTCCAAGCCTTGCACCTCGAGAAATTGACAATTCCGCGTCCATCTGAAGTGAGACGTTCCACGATAATTTGAAAACTGTCCAAATCGGTATGTCGCTTTCCAACCAGCCAATAGACTGGACTGCAGTCACATGGCCAGTCTCGGCTTCCAAAAATACATTCTCAATACTACGAGCTGCCATAATCATCGTGACTGGACTTTTAAATTGAGCTAAAGATCCCATTGATAGAGTCGAATTTTCGAAATCCTACGAGTAGTCAAACAAGGGTTCATTACAATGTCATACAACGTGTATCGTATTGCCTCCACTGGACTTCCCCGGGACCACCATGCAATTTTCGTGGAAACAGAGAAAGATGGAACTGGCGAGCTTCTCGAAGTCGCGGGTAATATTCAAGAAGGGATGTCCTTCAGTATGATGCCGACCAAGAAACCAGAAGACTCCATAACATACAAAGCCAAGGTTCTTATCGGAAAAGTCAGTGAATTTGATTATCCACGTATGAGAGACGTTTGCGAAATGATTCCACCTCCAAAAAAGCAATTTCAAGGCTCCCGTCGGCTCTTCCCAAACGAGCCACTTCGACGTTGTCAGGAATGGACCGCAGAAGCCATCCAAGCGTTGCTTGATGCGCATGTCATTGTCAAGTAAGTTGAAAATCAGATTTTGTTATGTTTATAATGCGTATAAATTACCTACGTGCTCTCCCTCGATGTCGAGAGTGACCCAGGATGTGCACAGAGAGCTCTGGTAAACGCTTGGGAAGTTCGCGGTGTCCCGAATTAGCTCTCGGAAGGTCGCGCTAGCTTTTGACGCCGGCTAACGGGTAAAAGGGTTACGTGAGTCTCTTGACGCCGTGACGCGAGGCCGCATGATTATTAGCGACCGGAGTGGATCCCGGTAAAAATGGGCGGAATCGCGGCCGCGAAGTGACAAAGCATTATTGGAACATTTTTCAGCTTTTGTCATCTGAAGCTCCAAGCTCCAAATGGAAAATCATTCCACTTCATTTTAAGGCAATTATTTGTTGCAGCATATGTAAATAACATCCTTGCACTTACTCGTCTATTCTCTGCAAAACTATATCACATAAACTCGGAGAGGGCAATGTGCGCAAGCTAAACGCACGCAGCATTCCTAATATTGGTGGAGTGTGATCAAGGCCTGCAAGACCAACATCGAGCCATCATAACTTCAATCCGTGTAGGCTGAGGCCAATTGCAGATTCAGTTAAAACTATGGACAGAATGCCATGTGGAGATAACATTTCCAAGCACGTGCGGCAGCAAGGCATGCAGTCCGCTAAGCACAGCAGAGATCGTTCCTTCTTAAAATGCTCAAATTTGCTCATGTGCTATCTGATCGTCGCCATTACCCTTTGCGTCTTGGCCTCACCATGCGTCGCATCAGATATCACAAGTGCTCCGTTGGCAGCTAGAACGAGTGGGGAGCACGCAATTGTGGAGGGTCAAAGTAAAGAAAACGAGAACCTTGGTGGTCAACATCAACTACGCACCCAGGACTCTGCAAGAGCCCCAACGACGCAATCTCAGCTACCCCACCAGAGCGAATCATTTCTCCGTATCTTTCAAGAAACCCTCTATCACTACATTTGCCCTAGTTCCAACTCCGCTTCGGCCCACGAAGCTCTCTCGTTTCCTTTGAACACCATCTGTGAAAGGCTTCATCGTTCTGACAACCAAAACTCTCGTCCTGTATCTTCTTCCAAGTCCACTGGCTTGTACTCATCTTCCTCCCAATCCACTATCTCATCACCAAGTTCAACCATAGCCCAAGGCAATTCCGTCAAGATGGCTGCTTCTACTGGACCCTACACCTTGCCCCCGCTTCCTTATGCCTACAATGTACGTATCGTCCTCATATCCTTTCCTTGTACCTTGTGTGTTTCAGCTTTGCTACTCTCTTGCCTTAACGAACAGCATGGATCATCCCTAAAGTCTTCTTGCTAACGAGAAATGCGTGAATCAAGGCCCTCGAACCCGTCATCTCTCAGCAGATTATGGACCTCCACCACAAGAAGCATCACCAGACCTATGTCAACAATCTCAACGCCGCATTAGCAAGCCAAGCCAAGGCCACCCAGTCCAACGATATTAGTGCCCTCGTGTCGCTGCTGCAAAAGATCAAGTTCAACGGCGGTGGACACATTAATCACTCTCTATTCTGGGAGAACTTGACCCCGCCGGACTCTGATGCGAGCAAGCTCGAGACTGCTGCGCCCACCCTGCACAAGGCCATTGTTTCCCGCTGGGGCTCAGAGCAGGCGTTCAAAGATACATTTAGCGACACCCTGCTTGGTCTTCAGGGTAGCGGCTGGGGCTGGCTCGTGAGCCGTGGCAATGGAGGCAAGCTCGACATCACGACTACCAAGGACCAGGATCCAGTGACGGCGCCAGAGGTTCCCATTTTTGGAGTTGACATGTGGGAGCATGCATACTATTTGCAGGTATGCTTCAGTTATGACCCTGAAGGGACATGATGATATCTAGGACAGAAAACTAATACGTCTAACAGTACCTGAACAACAAGGGCGGTTACGTTAGCCAGATTTGGCGCGTTATTAACTGGGCCGTTGCTGAGGAGAGATACAAGCATGGTATCGACTCAAGCAAGACGTTCAAGCCTGCTATGTAAAGGTCCTTTACTGTGACTAGTGGGAATATTAGCTATTAAATGTGAACGAGCAAATTTCGTAGCTATTTTGACATTGGTAGCCATGTGCTCTATAATCTGTTCTGACGATAAAGATGCAAGCTAAAATCCATCAAATAATCTAAAGTCTGATTCTAATGGGACTATCTCTCATGCTGACCGCTAATTCCATATACCAATTGCCACCATACCATACCATAACACATATAATACCAGACCCGAACCCAACAAACCATGACTTTACCCAGCTGAAATACAAGGCAAAGTTAAAAGCCATGACACATAGTTCTTTGCATTGTCACAAAGAACGTCTAATTATACCCCACAATTCCCTCTGCCAGCGTCCACGCGCCCATGTTACTCTCACCCAAGCCTTCGCCCGGGACTTCCCCCTCAGCAGAGGCCAAAGACCGGCGGCACACCAGCGTGACCTGTCGCCCGACAACACCCGCGCCGCCAACGCCCAGGTCGAGTTTCTCGGGGAGGTCAAACTCAAGTGTCCGTCCTTCTGTTACTCTACCGCATTCTTCAGGTGCTGCTGCTCCTGCGGCAGTGGTGCCGTTGGTCGAGGGCAGGGAAGTCATGTTCAGTGGGAAGGAATATAGCGGTTTATATCCTCCTGCAGCGGCTGCTTCGTTCAGGGATGAGGGGGATGTATATCCGTATTGTCTGGATGATTGTTAGTTTTTGTTTAGTTTCTTTTGCCTTTGACGTTTCGATTTGGCAGTTTTCATCTGGGGTTTGGATTTTCTTCTCTCAGCAACAACGACTTTCGCTCTATTCGCTATTTGCTTTGCTGCTGCATTTCGTGCGAGGGTATGCAATGCGCTATATTTCACGCAATCCGCGAAAATCAGAGATTCAGAGCAGGTGAAAGTGACGAAAAGAAAAGAAAGAGAGAGTGAGAGAGAGTGAAGAGAGGAGCCAAAATAAGAAGCAAAATGCAGAAGACAAAAAAATAAAATAAAACAAAAGAGATGAATAAAAGGAAATAAAAGAAAGGAAGGAAGAAAAGAAAAAGGGAAGAAAAAGAAATATAAAAAAAAAGGAAAGAAAGGAAAAGGCAATAGAAATAGAATGAAAGACGTACTCTATGCGCAAATCACAGCTACCGCAGTTCTTGAGCGCAGCAAGCGTATGGCCATTATCAAAGCTGAACACTGCCCGCGTAGTCTCGGTCTCCGGCTTCGGACTTCGTGACGAATCAAAGGTGGGCATTGACGGCGCGGCATCGTGGGAGTCGGAATTGTAAAAGAAGAGATTATATGCAGAAGGTAAAGCAGGAATTGTCGATTGCGAAGGAAACCCATTGGGAGATGCGGGTGATGAGGCTGGAGAAGGAGAAGGAAATGGAGAAGGATAGGAAGCCGATGAATGTGAAAATCTCGGAAACATGACCGCGATGCGGCCGCCGGCGCTGGAACGGCCGAATTCACCTCCACATCCGCACATTATTGTTGTTGTTGAATGGTAAAGGTGGTGTAACTTGTAATGAGAATGAGGATGCTAAGTTGGGAATATGCAGTAGAGCGTAGACAATGCAATAGTCGCAAGACGTTTGGAGATGACGGAGAATGAGATCAATAGATGGTTAGAGTACGATCAAAAGAAAGGGTGGTATGAGTATGAAGTGAACTCCAGTGGTGTTGCCGTGCTAGATATAAAGACGAGAGAAGACAGACGCGTATAGCACGACAAGGAGAAAGTGTAGTATGTTACACCGACTAGACAGGGCAGCAGGTATTACTTTAAAAGATCACCAGGGTCCCTGTTTTGCAGCCATGGCGGAATTCGGATTTCGCAATATCATATACGGACTACGGAGTATGGTCTGAGGACCGATAACAGAGCAGAGCCATCCAGGTCCCCACATATTGCTGTTTGCCCTGCTAGTCGATAGGCAGTGGGGCATTCTGCGCACTTTATTAGTTTCCGAGACATACATGCCTTCCTGCAACCATTCCACGGGCGCGAAAGTCACTTGAAATCCGATAGTTCTGTATCATATCGAGTAGGTAAAGAGTTTTTGGTAGGGACGAGATGTCAAAAACGTGAAGTGCTTGATAGAGAAGGCAGTGAGAGGGTTTGAGCAAGTATATTCGTCACGGGTTAGTTAAGCGCTTCCCGTGGCGACTTAACCGGAAGGAGTAACTGTCTCGGTTGTGAAGTCGATCACAGGTACGAGCGAGTGGAGAATCCTCGCCAAGGACTCGCTAAAATTTCCCCGAGATTGGCGCGATTGTCGCTGTGGCTTCGGTGGAATTGCTAACTAATTGTTAGAGGGATTAGAAGGAGATCGACGGGGACGATCGGATCAACTTGAGCTGATTTCTATGATTCGGTGGTCCTGTCTGTGAAGTGTTTAAAGCCGGGCTGCTATCCCCTCAATATCGGCTGGCCATTTCCCGGCACCCTGACACGATTTATACTTTCCAAGTATACACAATTTGGACAATCCGACAAATTACATCCCCTATTTGCTGATTATAGATATCTAATTCAAGCAGCGTAGGATTTCATATCCTCAACCACTTTCACAATCCGCTCCGCATCAGGTTTTTGGTCTACCTTCAGCACCGGCGTCAAAACCCTGAACTCGTCGCCATTCAATGCATAAAACCTGACACTCAGTCCAATCGCGATCGCCGCGTAAAGCCTTTTGGCTTCGTCATTCCAGGTCGCTCTCATCTTGTCTATAATCATCTGCTGAGTTTCCTGCTGCTCAAGCTTAGCCCATTCAGAGGGCACATCAAGCTCTCTGCGCTTGCATTCAACCATGACGAGGTTCCCGCGTGGCACTTTCTCGCCCCTTATGACCTTGACCACTGTGAGATCTGGCCAATCTTTGGTCGTTTCATCGATTTTGTGGGATGCCGGTTTGATCACGGTGTAATAGCCCGTGCTGGGGAAATGATAAGAGAGTAGATTCGACCAGAGCGTTTTGACCTTTTGGCGTGGAGAGTCTGGGGTAACACATTCGATGCAACCCTGAAGACCCGTGAGCTCGAGGTATGACATTTTTTTTGGTTCAGATTTGTATCTGACAGCTGGACGCTGGTGAGCCTTGGGATGAATTTGCGTTTAGCTCGGACATAGTGAATGGCATTTTATTTGGAAGAGATGAACTGGCGATGAGCAGCAACTTACGATATTTCACCCAATTAATGATGACTAGTGAAATGAACGGACAGTGTATTTTTGAAGGCCGAATGACTGGTGTATTGACGAAGGGTTTGTTCCCTTTCTCTTTGAAGCGGGGAACATTCTTCTGGCCTTTTATATACCCATATCGAGGACCAGGGTTGACTCCTTTCCTACGTCGCATTGGCTCTCTAAGCGCTTGGTTTGTGTTACACAGTCTACACATCAATGCATTTTCTTGGGCAACTATTGAACAGCTATCCTCATTTCGAGTGACGAGCCATGATAGATGAGTATCTGGATTATGGCGAACACATAAGGTACCATGATATGCAATTCATAGCCATAGCCAAAATCAAAAGTGATTTCTGCCGCGACAAAGTCATGGTGGGACTATAACAAGTCGTTACGTGGACCCTGAGCTCTCCGTCAGAATCGTCGCGCCAAGTTAGATTTGCTAAACCCAGGATAGACTAGTCACTTCAAATTAGCGAGCATATGGCCAAGTGTAGAAATCTGGGGTTAACATGGGGCGGTACTTTATTGGCAAGCGAATATGTGTATCATTATCAACGCAACTAGCAGAAGAGTCATAGTCTTTTATACCCAAGTTCTCCTTTTATCGGGCTTAGAGACTGTGCAAAGCTTGACCATTTCCAGCCCATTTAATAGTCAGAAAAGGGGAAAAGAAATCGATATCTGGCCAAAGGACACATATAAAGGTAACGACAATCCTACATCGGTTGTAACTTTACAACCAGAGGACAAGCTATTGATTATAACACCAAGACTGCATCCAACACAAGGACAAAAAAAATCTTATTATAATTACTTGTTTTATTTTTGCATCGACTGGACGTTCACCTAACATCATGGCGCCCCAGCAGTCTCACACAGGTGATGCCATTGACCAATACAAACAGCTGGAATCCGTGGTGGAGAAAATGATGGAAGACATGGCTAGGCGAACAGAAGAGCAAGAAGCTAAATCATTTTCCCTCAACAGAACTATAACTAATTTCTCTCTAGGATAGATGAACAAATTGCCGATCTGAAAAAAGAATTTGAGATTACTCGAAGAGAGATTGAACTTAGTCGAAGAGAATCCGAGTCTACTCGGACAGAATTTGAGTCTCTACGGGCAGAATCTCGAGCAGAATTTGAGTCTCTCCGGGCAAAATCCCGAGCAGAATTTGAGTCTTTCCGGGCAGAATCTCGAGCAGAATTTGAGTC